AAATGTCCCTCATGGCCGAGCTCTTGAGATTTCTGTCCACACGCACTCAGGACACAGGACTCGTGTCCAGCAAGAGCAGGGGTGGAATTAAGAACCGTGCTCAGAGCCGAGTGTCCTCAAGGCTGACGCACAGGGAAAGGGGTAAGAGAGCCCCCCGGGGTCCCGGGGAGCGAGCAGGGAAGCTCGTCTTTTCCCCAGGCTCTGGGTTGGAGGAAATACCTGCGGCAGAACCGGAGGCCTCGGAGGGTGCTGAGCAGCCAGTAAACTGTGCCAGGTCGCACCTGCGGCGGCAAGGCTGAGGCGAAGACGGCAGCCGGGGCAGGGAGTCGGAGGCGCGGGACGCGGGTGTAGAGGCTCACCGCACATGCCGCCCGCGTTCCGCAAGGGGAGGACATGGGAAAGAGGCAGAGGCCATAGCCTCGGAGAGAATGGCTGAGAATGTTCTAGAAATGATCACAGGCATAAATCCTGCAGTTTGAGAGCTCCAAGCCCCAAGGTGAGAGCCAGCCTCACTGGGACATGCCCCGCTGAAACCCAGAAGACCCCAGACAGAAAACCTCCAGAGCCGACCGGCTGGTGAGAGAAGTGGCCTCAGAGGGACAGCCGGGGGATGGACGCCCGTTCCTCCCGGGAGCGCCGCACCAAGGTCGGATCGGGGCCTTCGGCGACAGGAAGACAGTTGTCACCCAGCTACACTGTCCTTCCAGAGTGAAGGAGAGAGAGGCAGTCTCGGGCGGGGAAGCCGGACGTGTCCGCTCTGCAGGCGGGGACGCAGGGGTCCAGAAAGGGTGGCAGTGGAGCTCGGAGGAGCAGGGCGGCGAGCCAGCGGGGAGGAAACCAGTCCATGGGCGGCAAGTCTCGGGACCCACAGAGTGCGGTCTCAGTACCCACGACAGCCGCTGGGGTGCATCCCCCAGGAAAGGGGGGCTGACACCCCAGAGGTAAATGCACAGAACCCCCAGGCTGTCGCGGGAAGCAAGTTCCTCCTGTTGAGGGGCGGAGCGAGCCCTTAGCGGGGCTGCAAAGTCCAGCGGCCGGGTAGATGCCGCAGATGCGGGCGGCGGGCCAGGGAGGGGGTGGGGGAGCTCGTGCCCTGCCTCACGGTGGATTACGGGCCCCGTGCCCGCTCAGCCTGTGCCAAGCCCCATGTTGGCCTGGAGGGACCGTGAGGAGGATGAACCATCAAACTTTCCATCTGGGGGTCCTGCCTGACCTCTCCTGTGGGGACACAGTGGCAGGGGGTCGGACTGCTCCCCCGAAGGTGTGGGAGCAGCAGGGCCCACCTGGGCGCGGCCTCGTCATAAAGGAGACCTTTATGGGGTCTCGGGACTTGGTGTCAGCTCGTTCTTCCTCAGTCCGCCTCGGAAGCCTGGCGCCGCATCCTTCTAAGTTCTCGAAAGGAGGAATGAAGAGCCCGGGGTGGGGGCGGAGACCAGCCCCTCCAAGCTGCAGGGTGGGTCTGAGGCCACCTGCTGTGTGCACCGAGCGCTCGGACGTGGGCTCCCGCGCTGTGTGCCCGACAGGATCCAGGATCCGAAAGGAGACTGCCGGGGCGCCCAGCGGGCTCGGTCGCTACAGCGTGCGACTCCTGATTTTGGGGTCGTGAGCTCGAGGCCTGCGCTGGATGTAGAGATGCCTGAAGTAAATAAACTTCAAAAAAAAAAAAAAAAAAAAAGGAAACCACCCCAGGAACACTGAAGGATGCCTCAGTCAAGGAGAATGTATTAAAACCAACCACAGGGGCGCCTGGGTGGCTCAGTGGTTAAAGCCTCTGCCTTCGGCTCAGGTCATGATCTCAGGGTCCTGGGATCGAGCCCCGCATCGGGCTCTCTGCTCAGCGGGGAGCCTGCTTCCTCCTCTCTCTGCCTGCCTCTCTGCCTGCTTGTGATCTCTGTCAAATAAATAAAATCTTTAAAAAAAAAATCCCTTACACGGGAGTGATGGGGTTCTGACCGTACAGACTCCTAAGGGCCTCGGGTTCCAGGGAAAACAATGGTCTGTCAAGAATTCTGCACCTGGAACGCTATTCTTCAATAGTGAAGGAAAACTAGAGACATTTTCACGTTCCCAAGGACTGTCACCAACACACACCCGTGCAAGGACGATAACCGGTGACCGAGAACCGCATAGCCAACAGCATTCCTACTCCAGCCGGTTGCAAAGGATGTATTTCGGGAGGGCGAGCAGCGGGCAGGTCTGAAATAGGAGAAGGGAGGGTGAGCAGGTCATTCTCGCACACCCTGACGGCACGAAATGATGATACGGTGTACAGCGTGTGGGGCTTCAAGTAATAACAGCAATAGTGTTGCAAGACAGGACAAGCGTGGGAGACACATGTGCTGGAGAGCATCAGAGGTAAAGTTCTCGAAGGTCCTTGTGCTACTCAGGAAGAGGGAAAGACGTTCCTTCTGTCTACGCCTCCTTACGGACGCAAGGTGAACAACCAAAGACGAGCCGGTGACAGCATGGGGACGCGACCGCCTGCAGCAACACAATGAAAGGGCGTTTACTCCGGGAGCAGACGCGCAGTGGTCTGTCCTTCAGGCGTGAAGCTGGCGCCCCAGCTCCCCTCCTGGCTGCGTGGCCAGATCCCAGGAGGGAGCGACGGAGCCCCCTTCACTGGACGTCTCCCTGGGCAGTGTGTGGGTCAGAACCTGCGCCGTGGCCGTCACGGGGACCACAGCCGGCGGCGGGAAGAATGACCCTCTCGGCTCTCAGAAGCGCGGAAGAGCACTCGGGAAGAGCGGCATGGAGGGGCCGTGGAGGGTCCGTCACTGAGAGGTCACAGCTTGAGCGGGACAGGAAAACAGGAGAAAAATTAGTCCACCCAGAAGAGCAAGAAGAAGGACCAAGAACCGCAGGATGTGGGCCAAGCACACGAGAGAAGGAATGACAGATGCAAATGCAGCGGTCATCACAGTGAACGTAAACAGACAAAACCCAGCTGGAACGGGTGAGGACGGCCGCAGAGACGGCACTTTACACGCCGGAGCTGGCGGCGCTGGGGGCTCAGTCGGGGAGCGTCTGCCTTGGACTCGGGTCATCTCAGGGTCCTGGGATCCAGCCCCATGTCGGGCTCCCTGCTCCGCGGGGAGTCTGCTTCTCCCTCTGCCCCTCCCCCTGCTCTTGCTCTCTCTCTCTCAAATAAATAAATAAAATCTTTAAAAAATTAAATTCCAGCTCTGTTACTCACTAGACACAGATCTGAAACGCAAGAAGGCCCATCAACCTAAGGTAGAGGACATTTTTTTTAAAACCACACAGATTTTAAGCTAAAAATAGGACAACATAGCTTTTTAAGACCGAAGTTCTTACCAGGGAAAGTGAGAGCGCAGGGACAGGTGGCTTAGTCGGAGACAAAGAGACTGGGCAGTGCAGCCTCCACTGCGGGAAGCCAGAGTCCACGTGGGAAGCCACGGACCAGCACAGCCCTCCCACTGATTCTGGGCCGAGGACACAGAACGTTCATTAGTGACACGTAGGAGTTGAAAGCACATCCGTGAGCGGGATTCGCAGACGGATCTAGATGCCAGAGCCCCCTGGCAGAGGCTGCGCGCTCTTCTCGAGCGCGTTTTGGTTCTGAGCCCACAACGTTACGCCTCTTGAGCAACGTTAAAGACGTGACGCTGTGCAGGCTTGGCTTCCTAACCCAACGCGACCGAACTAGGAGTCAGTCAGGAAGAAAGAACTTCACGTATGCTCGGAAATCTTAAACCGAATTTCTTTTTTTTTTTTACGACTTTATTTATTTTTTTAAGATTTTATTTATTTATCTGACAGACAGAGATCACAAGCAGGCAGAGAGGCGGGTGGGGGGGAGCAGCCTCCCCGCTGAGCAGAGAGCCCGATGCGGGGCTCGATCCCAGGACCCCGGGACCATGACTGGAGCCGAAGGCAGACGCCTCACGACTGAGCCACCAGGCGGCCCTCCAGCTTTGGTTTTAAAAGTCTGACTTTAGAACACAGTGCTTGATTTTACCTCCTCAGCCACATGTAATAGCAAGAAAACCTTTGCAGAGAAAAGTCTTACATTTCGGCTAGTAGCACTACTGTTTGTAGTGATGCTAGGATTATTACTTGGAAACTGTGTTAAACATGTTATAAGCCAAAGCTAACAAGTAACTGTACGAATGTCAGGGGCCGCGTGTTTGCGTGTAAGAGAGAAGGGAGAGGAGTACAAACCCGACCGGAAGGAAAGCTTGTCTTCCCGGAGGGAGACGCGTCCCCGCACGTCCACGGCAGCATGACGCCCCGCAGCAGAGACAGGGTGGCAGCGCCTCACTCCCTGCGCCCAGTTGCAGGGCGAGGAGCAGAGACCCCGTGGGGAGGGCAGGTGGATCTCCGGGTCGTGGCCAGGTCAGACGATGTAGCCGTTAGTGCCCTTATGAAAGAGCCCCCAGAGCCCCGGCCCTTCCCTCTCAGGAAGACAGAGTGAGGAGAGATGCAGGACCCAACCTGCGGGTGCCGTGGCCTTACTCCCGGCCCTCAGAGCTGCCCGGTCCGTGCCGCTTGGTTAGAGCAGCCTGAGCAGACTCAGGGAAGCCCGGACCATGCTCCTGGGAACACGGAGCGGACGGCTGAAACCCAGCAGCCATTGTGGGCCACGAGGCTGCTCGTCCACCCCAAGGTTCAGGAGCTAGGGTTCCCAAGGAGGGGCCTGGCTCCCCATGGCCTTAGAGCCAACACCGTCTTTAGGCCGCCAGCCCCTAACCCTGGTTAGTGCGAGAGAGAGACGAACAATCTTGCCCAAGCCAGGCTCCTTGGGTCTCTGGGGCCTGTGTCGAGCCCGACTGATGTCTGGGCCTCCACCTGGCGAGTGGGGCCGGGGGAGAGACTTTCTCTGGAGGTGGCAGTTCCCAGCCGCACCCTCTGGCTGGCCCACCCAGCTCCCGATGTCTGTCGGGGGTGCCAGCGAGGGAGGTACTCCGGACGAAGAGGAAGTGGCCGAAAGGGGAAGCGGCGGGCTGCAGGGAGGAGGCAGGTGGGCTGGGGCGGGGCAGCTGCCGGAGCTGAGGGCCTGCAGTCTGTGGCTGGAGCAAGATGAAGGCCAAGGCGGTACCCTGGGAGGTGAGTCTGGGAGCCCGGGGCCAGGCAGGAGAGGCAGGCTGAAGCCGGCTGCCAGTGAGCCCAGGCCCGGGGGATCACAGAGCCCCCCGCGGGGCCTGGCAGCCTCACCCCTGCTCTGCAGGGCAGGAAGTCGCACGCCTCCGGCCGTGACCTCGGATGCCTGGAGGGCCCCAGCCTAGCCCCAGCCCAGGAACACGGTGGCTAGTGGGCCACCCCCTCCCCAAGGCCGGCCCAAGCCCAGGGACACAGGGACACAGGGACACAGGGACGCAGCGAGCCAGCAGCTCTGCAGTGGCCTGGAGCTGCCCTGGGGGCAGCCTCCCCAGGCCCCAGTGCTGTTCCGAGGACCCAAGATGGGGGGAGGATGTGCTCCGGGGAGCGGAGGTCGGGGAGGCGCCTGGGACGGGTCCAAGTCCCAGTGGGGCTGCAGGGCTCTGATCTGCCCTCTGTGCCTGGGACACTTGGGGAACAGGCCCCTTTCCCCTGTGGTACAGCGGAAAGGTGGGGGGAGGGAGAGGTCTGTCCAAGGAGGTCCCTAGGGCCCCTTTGTTCAGCCCCAGCCCCGGACTTCCCACTGGCTGCATCTCCTGAGACTCGGTGAAGCCTCGATGGACCCCGGGGCGTGGGCGGTCCCCTGAGCTGGGCTCTGCCATGTGGGGGGCAGAGTGAGGTCTGAACCCAGCTCTGGGGGGCATCCTGGCTTCCCTGGGGGACCCCCTGGTTCTGCCGGAGGCCTCCTTCTGGCTTCCGAGGCCCCTCCCTGCACCCCCGGCGGGCATGCCGAGCCCTGGAGTGCTTGGCCCACCGGAGCCACCATGGGGGAGCCCTGTCCACCTGGCTTCCAGCTCTCGGTGGCACTAGCTGCCCTGAGGGGGTAGAGCCCTGGGGCGGAAGGGGGCCCCCACACAGCACCCCAGGTTCCCCAGCCCTCAGGCCCCCAGATGGCAGCAAAGGGTCCCCGCTCAGCCCCCGCCGTGCCTTCCCAGCCGGGACGAAGGGTGCTCCCTGAGTCCCAGGAGGGGGCTGCTGAGGCCCCCCCAGGCTGGGACCCACCCTGGGAAAGGAGGTGGCTTTTCACGGGCCGGTAAGGAGGGCCCAGCTGAAACCGGAAATGGCTCCGGGGCTCACCACGCTCACGGCTGAAAGAAGGAACCAAGATTCAGACACGCAGGTGCCCGATGAGAGCGAGACGGCCAGGGGGAGCCAGAGGGCCGGGCCAGCTCCTCTGGCACAGACGGACACGAACACCCACGCGCGCACACACACACACGCACACGGACACGCACAACGCAATGTACACACGCACACATGCGGTGCACACACAGACGCGCGCACCGGCTTCAGGCTCCACACGGAGTCACCATCTGCAGGGCAGGCGGAGGGCGGTGGAGGGAAGGCAGTGCCGGGCCTGTGACACCAGGTCGCCGTGTCAGGGGCTGAGACCTCCGCGGAGAGCATCGGTAGCCCTGGCCCCCGCGCTCCACAGGCCCACAGCCCACAGGACAGAGAGCCTAGCGCAGCAGAACGGGGGGCTCGAGGGAGGGGGTTCCACAGCCTCGGGGGACCCTGCACCAGAGCGGCAAGGATGAAACCAACCAGACCAGTGCACCCCTCTCAGCTCCCCAATCCCTGTCCTGGGGGCCCCAAGGGAAAGCCCCAGGCCACTTGGTCCCCCCTCCCCACAGGGAGTTTGGGCCCTGCTCAGTGCCATCTTCCCGTCCTTCACCCACCCAGCCCCCCTGCAGGCCTGGCCCTCCCTGGGAGCCAGCGACAGTCTCTGTCAGCCCCGGAAGGGCCACCTCAGCCCACCCAGAGGTAGAGCACACGCACGCCGTCCGGGGACCCCACGGTGACACCCTTCTCCTGCTGCAGGTGCTGAGAGTGCTGGCCGTGCTGTGGCTCGGTGCTGTGGCTCTTGCCTACGTCCTGTGGCAAGTGTACCTCCCGCCCACCAGCGGCCAGCTGCACCCGGAGGAAGGGCCCACCTCGTTCCCGGGCCAAGGCTCCAGCCGGGCCTGGGAGCCCCGGAGAGGGGAGGCCGCGCCGCAGCCGCAGGACGCTTGCCGGTGAGTGTCTGCGAGGTCTGCAGGCCCGTGGGCCCGTGCTCAGCTCTGCCCCTCTGTGAGCTTCCCGCCCTTGGACCGGCCCCGCGGGGCCCACACGGCCCTCTGCCACTTCTCAGAAGAGACAGCTGGCCGGGAAGGGCGGCCCCAAGGTGGGGATGGGCCGGAGCTGACGGACTTGGGGTGTTCTATGCAGCAAACACAGGCCGCTGTCTAGGGGCTCTGCTGAGGCTGCAAAGCCGGGAGCCACCTGGGCAGCTTCTCAGCCTTCCTGTCCTGGTGTCGCTGTTCCCAGCTGCCCGGCCAGCTGCCTTTCACGCTTTCTGCTGGGTGGGGGGTAGTCCTGCTCAGAGCCCGGCCTGTGGAGCCCAAGATGCGCCCCCACCACCGCCTGGCCCGGGCCTTCCTCCGGGTCGGCTGGCGCCTCCTCCAGGGGCCTCCCTTCCGGTCGGCAGCCCAGACCCCACCTCGGCTCAGAGCGACGGCTCTCCAGCAGCCGTGCCTGGAACTGGGCTGGGCCCGGGGCCCCAGTCTGCGTTGCTCCCTCCCTGGCTCCCCCCACCGCCCCTGGGGTCGCTGCCCGCAGCAGGCTTGTTGGGGCTCATGCCTGCCCCATCCAGTCTAGTCGACTCCCCTGCCGTGCTCCCCTGGCCTGGGCTTGGGCCCCATGTTGGCAGTGACCCCCCCCGGCCTGGCCAGTGGGGACGTGGCAGGGACGCGAGGTGGGTTGATGGCCCCCGTGCTCCGCTCAGGCCCCATGGGCTCTCTCGGCAGGCTTGTCCTTGTGGAGAGCACCCCCCGGGACCTCCCTGCTGCAGCCGGCAGCCCGTCAGCCCAGCCCCTGGCCCAGGCCTGGCTACAGCTGCTGGACGCCGCCCAGCACAGCATTCACGTGGCCTCCTTCTACTGGTCCCTCACAGGGGCCGACATTGGAGTCAACGACTCGTCCTCCCAGCTGGTATGCCCGGCCCTGCCCACCCCATCCGGGTGCTGGGCACATCTCTCTCAGTCTGAGCTGTGGGTGGGCAAGGTGGCCTCCCGGGAGAGGTCTGGGTCCTTCCTAGTTGGCAGGGCGTCACCCCTCACGGCTGGCCCGGCCTCGCAGGGGGAGGCCCTTCTGTGGAAGCTGGAGCGGCTGCTGGACAGGAACATTTCCCTGGCTGTGGCGACCAACAGCCCGTCACTGGCCAAGAACTCCACGGACCTGCGGGTCCTGGCGGCCCGAGGTAGGTGCCTGTCTGGCCTGGGCCCGCAGCCTCGGGAGCAGGCATGGCTCGTGACCTGCTGGTGCCACAGGACGAGGAAGGCACGCAGAGCTGCGTGGGATGGGCTAGGACGGGGCGTCCGTGCTTCCCTCGTTCACCGGGAGGGCAGGGGCCGGGGTGGCGTGCTTAAAGTCAGCCTCACCCGGGACTGGGGCTGGTTCCAAGGGGCCAGACGGTCATCCTCCGTGGTGGGCAGAGCCTAGGGAGGCCTCGGGGCCCCCCTGAGCCCAGCTGCTCTGACCTGTGGGTGGGCTCAGGCTGGAAGCTCAGCTGGGCAGTGATCCTTTAGCCCCGGGCTCTGGAGGGGGCGGCCCCGAGGGATCCAGGGTCAGTCGATGCCTTCGTCGCCCCCTGCAAAGTGGGGACGATGACGGCTTGCGCTTAGCAGGACTGCTCTGAGGGAAAACGAGCTGTCCCGCCACAAGGAATTGGGCTCACCGCGAAGCGGGCACCTGGCGAGACCCCGGTGACCGCACTGTCCTCGCCTCCCGGCCAGGTGCCCAGGTGCGGTTCGTGCCCTTGAGGAAGCTCACCGGGGGTGTTCTGCACTCCAAATTCTGGGTTGTGGACGGACGGCATGTCTACCTGGGCAGTGCCAACATGGACTGGCGGGCCCTCACGCAGGTGAGTCCCGAGGGCAGGGAGACCCACCAGGGGCTCGTCCGCTGCCCGCGCTCCCGGGGCCTGGTGATGTCCCGTGCAGCCCGGGGTGGAACAGGGTGGGGCGTCGCCCTGGTGCACGGGACAGGCGCCGGGTCGGGAGTTTGGGAAGCCTGCACGGCGCCCGCCCTTGCACCCCGGACTGTAGTTCTGCCCGTGGGAAGACGCTGCAGTCTCTGCACCAGGGAAACCTGCGTCCCTGAAGGAAAAGCAAAGCATGAAAAACCAGCCCGAGAAGGGTGGCAGCAAACGCAGCCATGCCGGCCGTCTGTCGCCGGACAGGGACGCGACGAACGACTTCTCTTAGGCATTTTCTGTTTCTGCGGTAACAAGCGGGGCTGCTGCTTGGATGGTGGGTACAACGTTCAAGACGAGCAGGGCCCCCGTCACCCCTGCAGCTCCTGCGAGCTCACTGTCCGTCACACTGTCTGTCCTGACTCCTGCGGGGGCGCTGCCAGCGCGGGGTGGGGGCGCTCCGTCCCAGGGCAGAGGCCCGCTCGCCGCAGCCGCCGCCCCGCCCCACAGGTGAAGGAGCTGGGCGCCGTCATCTACAACTGCAGCCGCCTGGCCCTCGACCTGGAGAGGACCTTCCAGACCTACTGGGTGCTGGGGGCACCAAGGGCTGTCCTCCCCAGAGCCTGGCCTCGGAGCTTCTCGTCCCACATCAACCGCTTCCGGCCTCTCCGGGGCCACTTTGACGGGGTGCCCACCACGGCCTATTTCTCCGTAAGAGCGGCCGACGGGGCCTGCCAGACCCCCGGGGGAGCCTGCCCCACCGCCGTGCCGCCCAGCGCCCAGGACCCGGCTGTGGTCCCCCGGCCAGCGGCGGGCTGTCTGCGGACCCAGCTCCAGGAGAGGACGCGGGCCGCGCGGTCCACGGGAAACAGGCAGCCTGGGAGGGGGCGGGGCTTCCCATGGCCCAGGGAGGGGGGCTCCAAGCAACTGTTGGGTGGGGATGAGGGGCTTCTGCCTGGGGCCTGGGAGGGCCAGGGGAAACCAGCTCATCTAGTGGGTCCGTCCCTCTGCAGGCGGGGAAGGGGGAGGGGGCGGGCTGACCCTCCATCTGGGCGAGTGGCAGGGGCTGGTCTCTGGAGACCCAGCATCAGGCCGGGGTGGGGGGGCGTCCTCTGGAGGGGCCGGGGGTGCAGCGCGGGGCAGGCTTCCCGGCCTTCCTGCCCAGACTGAGGGCAGTCCTGAGGTCCCGGTGCAGAGCCTCCCTCCCCTGTCCCCACCTCTCCAGGGGGCCCCTCTGGTCTTCCTCTGAGATCCCACATGCTGGAGGGTGAGAGCAGGCTGGGGTCGCAGTTCCAGGAAGCAAACGGCTCAGCGCCCTCGGGGACCTCTCTGCCTGGACAGGCCTCGCCGCCGGCGCTCTGCCCGCACGGTCGCACGCGGGACCTGGAAGCCCTGCTGGCCGTGGTGCGCGATGCCCGGGAATTCATCTACGTCTCAGTGATGGAGTACTTCCCCAGCACGCGCTTCAGCCACCCGGCTAGGTAGGGGAGTGGGAGCCTGGCGTGGGGGGTGCGCTCTGCGGATGGGCAGCACCCAGCGCATTTCCTCTCCCACTGGGACCCCTGCTCAGCCCCGGCTTGCAGTCAGGGTGCCCGTTGGCCCGAGGACCCTGAGCCGCCCTCCCACAGGTACTGGCCGGTGCTGGACACCGCGCTGCGGACAGCGGCCTTCAACAGGGGTGTGCGTGTGCGCCTGCTGGTCAGCTGCTGGCCCCACACGGACCCCAGCATGTTCCCCGACCTGAGGTCCCTGCAGGCCTTCAGCAACCCCGCGGCCGGGGTCTCGGTGGATGTGGTGAGGACCCCCCCCCCGCCGGGGCCGGGCTGGGGTGGGCGGTCCTTCTTCCCCTCCTCACGTGCTCCCTCTCTGTTCCCCAAAGAAAGTCTTCATCGTGCCGGTGGGAAATCACTCCAACATCCCCTTCAGCAGGGTGAGCCACAGCAAGTTCATGGTCACAGAGAAGGCGGCCTACATCGGTGAGCAGGCAGGGGCACTGCCCCAGGACCCTGAGCCCTTGAGGGGCACCGAGCATGTGTGCATGACCACGGAGGCCACAAAAACCCACAGAAGGGGGACATGACCCCCAAGCAGTGGCTGGGCCAGGGTGCTGAAGGGGACTCTGTTCTCATGGGCGGCACGGACCCCTCAGGACAGAGGCGAGCCGAGGGGGGGCTCTCAGGTCCAAGACAGGTCCAGGCCCAGGACGCCGGGTGGGTGGGAAGCCCCGAGCCCCAAGTTCTCAGGACGCTGAGTTGGGACACCAGCCCCGGGGGACGTGGGAGGAGCCGCGCCACACGCGAGGACAGCTGGTTGGCTCTTCTGCATCTGAGGGCTGGCTGGGTTGCAGTTCCGACAGCCGAGTGGCCGCGCAGCCCCTCTGTCCCCAGCGTCGTGGCCGAGCCTGATGACTGGGCCCTGCGGAGGGAGAGAGCCCCCGTCCCAGTCACACGGGACTCTCTCCCGCCCGCGGCCCCAGGCACCTCCAACTGGTCAGAGGACTACTTCAGCAGTACCTCAGGAGTGGGCCTGGTGGTCAGCCAGAGAGCGCCCCGCGGCCGGCCGGGGCTCCTCACTGCGCAGGAGCAGCTGCGTCGCCTGTTCGAGCGAGACTGGGATTCCCGCTACGCCGTGGGCCTGGATGCACAAGCCCAGGGCCAGGATTGCGCCTGGCGAGGCTGAGGGGCTGCTCTGCCCAGTCCCCGGCCCGCAGATCCCGCCTCCCGCTGCGCCTCCCCACCTGCCTCGGGTCGGGGCTCCGAGCCGCCCGTCCTCACAAGCCCTGCTCACGTGCAGGACCTTCCAGCTCCTGGCAGGTGCAGACGGATGGCTTGCCCTCAGCACCTGAACCGGCCCCTTGCACGCCCCACCTCCTCCAGGGAGCCTTCCGGGATTGTCCTCCCTGACCCACAGAGCCACAGTCCCTACCCACAAAGGAGGCTTTAGAACCCACGCACCTCCCTGCCTGTCTGTGTGGGCCTGGCGTGGGCTGCCTCCACTCCTCCCAGCCCCAGGTCGGGGTTCTGCACCCCCCACCCTGGGACTGCTCTACCTGCCTGTTGGTGCCTGGGCCTCACCCACAGGAACCGGGGGTGGGGCTGGAGCAGGGGCCGGGACGGGGAACCCAGCATGGGGGACAGGTGGAGAGGGGAGGGGTGCCGGGCTGCTGTGTGGCCCCTAGGACCATGTGCAGGGAGGGCCGGCCCTTCAGGCAGGGTTGAAAGAACCTGGTTTTGGAGCCGGGGGTGGGGGGGTGGAGTACTGGCACGAAGCCGGGGTGGGGCCTTGGACACAGACCTGCCCGGGGCCCCGCCCCAGGAGGCGCCCGGACACCGCCCTGCAGAGGCTCTGAATCCTTTTGACACCTGGGTTCTGGCCCTTCTGCCGGATCAGAGGCCGTCCCAGCGCACCCACTTGGCCTCTCCTGGGACTTCTGGTTTCTGACCAAGGTTCCAGAGCCCACCTGATCTGTGGAGGCCACCCTGGGTGGCAGTGTGGGGTGAGCTCTGTGGCCAGGGGACCCTGGACTCTGAGGGAGCTGAGCGAGTAGATGCCCGCGTCCAGCCCTCCCACATCCGTGGGTGCCTCTCCCCCGCCTGCCCCGTCCTCTCTGCCCCACAGTGAGCGGGTGGGCTGCAGTCGGGCCCCTACGCGTCAGCATCCTTGTCGGTGAGGAAGGTCCCCGACCCAGCCTGCAGGGCAGCCCCGGCCTCTGGGAGCTGGTCTGTGTGTGAACAGCCCTGGACCAAACCAAGCCCCCGGGCCGCTGTGGCGGCTCCCCGCGGCTCCTGTCCCCTGCCCATGGACTGCACAGCGACCCCCGTCAGAAACAGACCCTGTCCTGGACCCATGGTGCCCTCCAGAGCTGTGTGGGGGTTTGCGCTCTGGTCCTGGCCCCCAGCAGTGGTGTCCCCGGGCCGGTCAACCACGAGCCATCAGGTCTCCGTGCTCCAGGTCGTGCCTGGATGACAGAGAAAAAGCCACAGCCATGGCCCAGTGGCCATTGCCACGGAAGGGGCTGGTGGCCACACGTCGGGCAGCCTCTATGGCCTGTTGCAAAGCAGACCTTCCCCTCAGGAGACCCAGCTTGTGAGGCTTGAGAAGCCCCCCGGGGTGCCTTGATGTGGCTCCTTCTGGGCCACGGTGGACAGACTCTGACGTGGTCCTCGCGACCTTGCCCTGGAAGCCGTGTCCTGTGTGACCCCTCCCCTTGGTGGTGGGCACAACCCATGTTTGCTTGTGAGCAATAGAACACACAAAGGAGCCAATCTGTCACTTCTGCGACTGTGTGACACGCGTCTGTGAGCGCGCCCCGCTGGGGGTCCGCTCCTCGATAGCCAGAGGAAGCTCCTGGGCTGTGGCCGGTCCTCAGCGAGGCCCCCGAGGCAGGGCACTGAGCGCGGCAGCGAGTCGCAGCGGCCCTCACCCGTCCGGCCCGCAAGTGCTGTGAGCGGCCAGCGGCTCTTTCCCCACTTTGATGGAGGGACCCCAGCCCCGGCCCTCACCCCGACTCCAGCCTGCAGGACCCTGGGCTGAGGACCCAGCCTAGCAGGGCTCGGACTCCGATGCACAGGAACTGGGAGGTCACAAACGCGAGCTGTCGTCAGCTGCTGGCCTGTGGCAAGGCCGTCGCGCAGCATGGAGGCCGCGTGGGAGGATCCTGCCGCCCTCCCCACCTCCGCCTCCAGCCCCGAGGCCCCATGTCTCAGGCCTGCAGCTTCACATAAGGCCAGAAGCCCGTGGCGCCCAGCTGACCCCCGTGACGGTGTTCCCAGGAGGACGGCCTGACACACGGGATAGGCCAGGAGCGTCTGCCTGGGGGTGCTGGTCTCTCCTGACTTCAGGACAAACGCCCCGCCGACTCCTCCCCCTTTCCAGTCCGCGGATGCCCATTCTCCGGAGGACGGCCGTCCTCAGGGCGGGTGGCCTTCCCACCGGCCACGGGGAGGGCACGGCGTGCACACGGTAGGAGGGGAGCCCTCTGCTCTGCCTGCTGGGGCAGCACCAGGTGGGGGCTCACCCACAGTCTGAGAGGGGTTAGGAGTGGGTCATCAGGAGCCCCCCGGGGCCAGGTGGGGCGGGGCAGGCTACACTGGGGACGCTGTGATTCCCTGGCCCGGGAGGGGCACGCGGAGCACTCAAGACGAGGAGATTGGGTACCCGGGAGCTGCTTGGGCAGAGGGGAGGGTAGCCCCTGAGCTGGGCCCCCATCACAGCCAGGGATGTTGACCCAGCTCTGTCCCTGCGCTGCCTTTGTGGGTGCCGTGTCGCCCTGACAGCCGGCCTCGCTCTGAGCTCCCAGCCTGCTCCTCCTTCTGGCTGCCGGGCCCGGGAAGGACCTGATGGACCCAGGACAGGTGGAAGACCCACAACTCCTCTAGGGCCAGCGGGAGAGGTTAGCTCTGGGGCGTGTGGGCAGAGCACGGCCGGAACAAAAGACCTCGCAGCTGGTGCCTGGGGCAGGTCTTGTCCTTTATTGTCCTTTGCGGGGGTGGGGGGGATTCCAATGGCGTCCTGGCTGTAGCGTGTACAGTGGGGGGCACAAGGCCACGCGGGGGGCCCAGCCGCGTGTGCCGCATCCCCAAGCTTGCCCGGGGGAGGGTGTTCCACACAGGAGCTCCTTACAGGGAAGCAGGCAGGGGGGCTCCTGGAACGCACCCGACTTTCTGGAGTCGAGGGAAACCACGTTGCCCGAAGCAGCAGGAGAAGACAGGGGCCAGGGCAAACACTACATCTACACCCACGGTGGTTAACCACCTCCTTCCCCAAGAGCGCGGCTGGGCCCTGCTGGGCACTGCCTGTGGCTCCCTGGAGTCACGGCTCAGGGAGGCCTCACCCCAGCAGCCGGCGCCCCACCCCCACCCTGGACGGCGCCTGGCGCCTGGGCCGCCCCGCTTCCGCAGCTTGGCCACACGTCGGGGGCCGGCCGTGTGTCATGTGCCTCAGTGCCAGGAGAGCGGCAGGTGGCAGCGTGGTCGGGTGGGAGCCTGGTGCTGCTGGGGTTCTGGGGCTTGGTGTGGGCGTCTGTCCCGCGTGGAACAGTCACCCCTTCCCAGTCCTCGTGCGGTGGCGGGCCTGGGCGCAGACTGCTGGCTGGCAGCTGCGTCCCACTCCAGCAGGACCCGCTCGGTTCTTGCCGTGGAGGTCACCGTGGTACTGGAGCCGCGCCGGTGCCCACCGCCTCTGCCGGCTCCCCGGCTCCCAGCTCTTCCGGGGAGAGGCTTTCTCGCGCATCATAGAAGGTGCCTGCCTCTTCCTGGAGGTTTTCCTCGGCTGGGCTGGCCTCCTCTTCCACACTTTTGCTTTTCTTGGTAGGGGAGGAGGAGAAGCCCAACTTGGGAAATCGGAACCAGCCCCCCTTCTGCGAGGGAGGCGGCCGCGCCTCGGGCTGGGTCTGCACAGGAGCCAGTCTCTGGGCACTGGCTTGGGAATCGGCACTGGTCTCGGAGACCGAGGAGGAAAAGCCAATGCTCGGGAGCCAAAACCTGAACAGACCAGAGGACCTTTTACCTTCCGGTCTTGCATTAGGAGCCTGGTCATCCACAGCCCAGGCCCTGGCCTCCTCTGTCTCCTGGTCCTCTTCCGGCAGGAGCTCCAGTATCTCCGCCGGCTCGTCGTCGGAGCAGCTGTCTGTGCGCCCGCGGCCGGAGCGCCGGTAGGATGGGCCCGCTGCCGGTCCCGGCTCATCTACGCTGGGACAGATGATTTCGAAAGGCTCCCCGGTGTCAGGCTGGAGGTCTCCAGAAGTGGGGTCCGGTCCTGGGACCACCAGTTCCTGAGCCTCTCGGTGTCCTGCTGGCCCTTGGTCTGCAGGCACCACGTGCACCCGTGCCCGAGTGGGGGGCTCTGGGACCCTCCCCTTTAGCAAGGAAAACCCGTAAGAAAGCATTTGGGTCTCTGACACGGGGACCTCTGACTCCCGCACGATCTGGGTGGGAGAGACCTCAGGCCCCGAGAGCTCAGTGTACACAGTAGTCACTGTGCTGTGCACAGCCACCTGGCGGCTGGCTGCCTCCGCACCCTGGATGTGCACCCTGACCTTACAAATGGGGGCAGTTTCTGAGGGGAGGCCGAGGGCCTGGGGGGCCTCCGGGGTGCGGGCGCCCCGCCCTGCAGTACTATATGTGAGCAGGGCCGCATCAGGAGCGCTCTGAGGGCAGGACAGCTCTCTCACGCTGGGCACGAAAACAACGGCCTCCGAGCTGGGGGCCGGAAAGCTGAACCTCGGGACCTTTAACTTGGGGATTTGGACACGTAGCACGGAGTCTTCCCAGACCCGACCCACGCTGACCACGGAAACCTGGGACGGCAAGTGCGTGCTGCAAGCCCGCAGTCTGAGAGGGCCCTCGGGCTGGGAAGGCGGCCCCTCGGGCCCCCCGACCGGGCCCTGGCCCCCTGGTGCAGGAAGAGGGGCCTCTCCTGCTTCTCCTGGAGGTGGTCCGTGCTGCTGGAGGGGCAGGGAGCCTGCGCCCGGCCGGACCCTGACCTCGGGAGCAGACGGCCCTGCAGGCATGCGAGGGTCAAGGTTCCTCCGCAGGACATCTGCGTAGGAAGAAGCCGGGCTGCCCGAGGCTGCCCCGTCCGCACCAAGCTCCCGGGGCTGCGGGGACTTAGCCGTGCCCACCTCTGTGGCAGGTGCAGGGGCCACTGCCTCGCCCTCCCCTGGCACACCTGCAGACTCCGCCCACTCCTTGGGGGCGCGTCGGAGGCTGGGCAGGCCAAGCGAGGGCGTCCCAAACCAGCTCTCCCTGGGGCCCGCCGGCGCTTCTCCCGCAACTGCTCCCTGCTCTGAGCTCCCCAGCGCCAGGGACGGCGGGAGGGGCTCCTCTGCCAAGGCGGCTGTCCCCTCCCCACAGAGCAGGCCTGCTGAGCCGGCCCCAAGCCCAAGGCCTTGGGCGCTGTCTCCGGGAGACAGGCCATGTTTGGAAAGAGGGAGGGGGCCTGCGGCCAGGCCCCCCTGCACCGCGGCTTCCCTGGGGCTGAGGTCAGGCTGGACAAAGTCCGAGCTGGGAATGGGGGCTTCCGAGAGGTGGAGGCTCACACCGGCCCCTTCTGGCGGGCCCGTGGCTGTGCCAACACCCCCAACACCACCCTCACTGCGGGCCAGACCCGGGTCTCCCTGAGGCAGGCCAGGCCCTCCTGGGGAAGACTTCATTCCAGGAGGCACAACCTTTAGCAGGGCAAGGGCAGCCACGCTGACCGCTCCCGCCTCTCCCTCCTTCCCAAGGGTCACGTCTGCCGCAGCCTCTGCAGGTGGAACGCTACCCCCCGGCCGGCCGCCCAGAGCACCCGCATCCCCCGGGCTGTGGCCAGGGTCTGCTTTGGCTTCCGTCCCCTTCCTCGGGGACCAGCTGAGCGAGGGAAGCCTGAGCCTCGGTGCTCTCCCCAGACTGCCTTTCCCCTTGCGCGCGACACCGCTGCCTGTGGGGGCGGCTGCCGTCCCTGCTGTGCCTGCGCGTCCCTCTGCTACCTCAGACACAGAGATCCCCGCAGGTGGCCGCGGGCGGCCTGGCACTGGGTGGGCCACGGCTTCCTCCGGGGAGAAGTCCAGTCCCTGCGCAGCGAGCTGGGGAGATGTAGGGGACGCGCACTCATGGGCTCCAGGTGCCGCCACGCCAGCCCCTGAGGTTGGAAGCGACAGGCAGAATTTGGGTCGATGAAATTTAGGAAAAGTCACCCGGCCGTAAGAGTCAGGAAATACAGTGTCCATGGGCCCCGGGGACCCATCAGGCTGGGACAGTTGGACGTGCTCAGTGGAGCTGGGGTCGCCTGCCCCCGCTGGGCTCAGAAGCTCAGGAGCCATCTGGGACCCAGATGGTGCTTCACGAGGCAGCTCGGGGGGCACGGGGCCTCTGGGGACAGTCACCTGGAATTTTGTAAGAGTGACGCCCTCGCAGGGGCTGAGGCTGAAGGGTTCCACAGGGGGACCCCTGAGCCGACCCAGCATGGACATCGGCAGGGACGCCTCGACGGAAGCCACAGGCGGCCCCTGGGGCCGCCCATGCCCGAACTCGAAGGAGGAGGCAGAGACATTCACAGGTGAAGGGACCTCGTATTCCTCTGCAGAAGCTGCAAAGCCTTTAGCTGTTTTCCCTGGAGGAGAGAAGACTTTGGGCAGTTTAAAATAGGATTTTTTGCTTTTGCTTTTTTCTCCACCTTTTCCAGCTGACAGAGCCACATCACCTTCTGTATGGAAAGCATGCCGATCGCTACCAGAGACCACTGGAGGTCTGAGGCCGGCGGAGGACGAGAGAGTGGCATCTTTACCTCCCCCCGCAGGCAGAGGAGATGCTGCGGAAGGCTTGCTGGGGAAGGGGACGGAGGGGGAAACGCTGATTTTAGAAACCTTGAATGTCTTCCCTGCTGAAAAATCTTCCTCGTCCCCAGAGATAATACCCTCGGCCAACTGTGAGCCGTGGACCTGGGAGTCCACCTCCACGTCCCACACAGACACGTCACTGTCAGGGGCGCTCACGACCTCTTCGGGGCCCGTCAGGTCCAGTTGACGCGCCTTGATGTCCACCTGGGGGGTCTTGATGTCCACAACAGGAATCATGACCGAGTGCATTCTGCTCTCAAGAGGCAGGACCATGGTGGTCAACCCTTCGGCTTTTTGAGACGTTGCGGACACAGCCACCTCTGCGTCCGGGAGGGACAGCGCAGGCTCTCCTGCAAGATGGCCTATATCCGCAGTGTGCACAGGGAGAGCGCCGGACACAAACCCTGGCTCGGCCTCCAGGAAGAGCGGGGACACTTCAGCTCTGAGTGTAGGCAGGGACGGGTCCACTGAGGCCTCCAAGGACTTGCTCGGCGCCGACGCGCCGAAGGACGGCATCTTGAACTTGGGCATCTTGAACTTGCTGTCTCTGGCGGCCCCCTCCTTGTCTCCCAGGGACAGGTCAGCGTCCCGCCGGGCGCCGGGCACCTGGGCGTCCACCTCCACGCCGGGCAGGGACACCTCCACATCGGGGGCGCTCACCTCCCCTTTGGCGGCCTTCAGGTCCAGTTTCGGCGCCTTGATGTCCACCTGGGGGGCCTTGATGTCGACCTTGGGCATCTTGAGGCTGGGCATCTGCACCTTGGGCAGGTGCCCTTTGAGTCCGGCTCCGGCCGAGGGTTCCTGGAGCTCCCCCTCGGGCACTTGGCCCTCCGGGAGCTTCAGGCCCAACGAGGCAGTCTTGACCTCTAGGTCGGCGGATGGCAGCTCAACGGTCACGTCACTGGTCTTGACGTCGGCCTGTACGGAGGGCACGGACACCTCAGCCTGCACCTTGGGCAGGGACGCGTCCACTGAGGCCTCCAAGGCCTTGCTCGGCGCCGACGCGCCGAAGGACGGCATCTTGAACTTGGGCATCTTGAACTTGCTGTCTCTGGCGGCCACCTCCTTGTCTCCCA